GGTAAACTTCCTGTGCTGTTCGCACTGGACTAATTATGGTAAAACTAGCCAACGTGTTGGTTAGTTTTACCAAAAAAAGTCCAGTGCGATTGTGGCTTAATAAGCATTGGTTGAATAAATCGAGGGCCCTGTGTTGGATCTTGTTCTAAATTGGTCAGACTGGGATTTTACAGTATTGTCAGACACAATTCTTGATCACTGTTATCATTGTCATGTGTTAATACCAAAATTTATAGTCTTTTATATATACTATTTTGTACAATAGTGAACAATGGCCTTAAAGTTTGGGCGTTTTGAGATCAAATCGATGGTTCACTGCTGCCCACATGTAATACAGTAACATCAATTCAGAATGTGCGCTATAAATATGGAAACAAGTTGAATGTTTTACGAAAGTTTTAACAGGAAGAAGCCTGAAACAAAGTTTGTCTGATACAGATTCAAACAAATTGTAACAATGTAAAATTTCAAGCAATCATTATTACAGTCTCTTAAAATATTACAATAATGGTGTGAAGGCAAAGTACTTTCATACTTAAATTGTTACATTTAGCTTGATAGCTAAAGTTAGAAGAGACTTTTTTATTCCTTGTTTCGCGTACTTATTTTTGTAAGATCATCAGAGGAGGGCGGAATATGAAGAAAATTTTGCTTTCTTATTTAGCAAACAGTTTTGCCAAAAACATCCAGACTGAGGAGAAAATAAAAATAAAATTTTATTGGTGAATGTAAAATAGGATGGTTAGATGCTTCAAATTTATATAATTAGGAAGAAATATACATATCTTATCTTTGTAGATTTCAAGGCAGTGGAGGGCATAATAAAAATTAAAAAAAACTTTTATTTTTTTCTAAAATTTCCATTTTTTTGTGGCGGTATGTGCGCTAATTGGCCAAAAATAAAATTTCTATTCGAAATCATCAATATTTGCAGTTGGTGGGTAAAAGCTAAACAAGGTATAAAAAAAGTCATGCCTTATGTGTGAGATTTAATTCCACCACTTTCTAGTATATCGATCTCTTTGTATAGGCGATGAATTTTACAGGAGTTTGTCAATAAATAATAAAATATTAAATTACGTGGGGATGTGTGCATTAATATCTACAATAATAATTATTATTTAATCAAATCATTCAAATTATAAACATAAAACCAGCAGTGAACACATTTAGATAACACTGACTTACTTTGTGTTGCGAGGTATGGCTGTAAAGCTGATAGCATCTCTAAATGTTGGTGGATTTGTAATTATAATATTCCAAGTACGTTTGAATTAGGCAAAGCACCTAGTAATTAAGTCTATGCACGTCAGAATGGTTTCAAAATGTTTCCAGGTACCGACTCCACTCTAAACCAGAGTCACCTTAATAATACTTAGTCAATTAAATGTGAAAATTAAAGTAGGCAGGGCTATGGAAATTTTCAGCATACCGATTGGCTAATTGTGTCACTGGTGCAGTATCACTTTATTTGCACACTGCAAAATTCATCAACAAAACAGCATTGCATATAAATGGACTTTGATTTCTTTAAAACAGAATCTATTTTAAGTTCATGTAGATGGAATTCTAGGAAGGTGGATTTTAGTATTGTTGCATCACAAGGTTATATAGAAAAATAAAAAAATAGAATATTCTTTCTAATAATTTTTTGGTTTTCTTTTAAAAAAAGGCAACAGGAACAGGGGTGAATGAACAGGTGCTTTTTAAATATTGAAAACATTTTAGTATGTGACAACAAAACAAAATAAAATAGATGACGTAAAAGGTACTTTTTCAGAATATAAACACGTCATACCTAGCTTTTAAGTAAAAAAGCAATGATTTCAAAGTTAGAATGCTTCATTAGATAGAACCAAAATCACTGATTGAATGAGGAAACTCTGATTTGGCCAATAACACAAGATCTTATAAATATTCATAACTCTTTGGAAGGAGACAAGGAAGGAAGTGCAATTTGTTTGAAGACAGGAAAAAAAATTAAATGTTCTAAAATAATGGATAAAATAAATGTTTAAAAAAATCAGGTATTGTAGTTTCAAGGTAGTAGTAAAAAGATATATATTGTTACAGAGCAGATCTCTTCAACCACAAGACCAAACTTAAGGCTACAAATTTAAGCAAAGTATATCAAATTTAAATATAAATTTTACTTTACTCATAATTGTTTAAACTGAAGTTATTATCAATTACAAAATAATCTTACCTTTGAGATCATCTAATGTTACAATCCAGATGAATGCGACGACCAACCTGCAAAACAATAACCCAACTTTATGAATTGCATCGTATTAGTGTGTCAACTTATACTTTGAAATGAACCAGTACACATAATCTTCAAGTGAATGCATTCCCTGGTTGGTAAGCCAATAGAAGAACAATTATGGATATATTGAGAAAACTTCCCTTTAATGAATGAAAGAGGAAACAAATACAAATTATTTCTCAAAAAAATACTGAGAAGCTAGTAAAGAACATCTGAGATAGATTAGAGATAATAGAAACCTGTACATACAAAGCATGAGAGAGACAAAGTGGAGGATTTTTTTTGTATTTCCACCAAAACAAGCTTCACTTCCTTTTAAGTGTGGATAGTTACGTCTACTATCGCTACTCCCCCTGAGAATCACTACCATCCAACATCAGGAAGTACTGTTTCCTTCGCATGGGTTCGTTTTAATAAACATCATTCTACACACATTTTGCATTTTATTTGTTTCATATTAATAGAAGCACAAAACATTTAAATCGTTAGAATTGGACACATTGTGGTGATGTATTTTGTAAAATGTATTTTGTCTTTTATGAGAATTAACAGTAACTGAAGTGCTATGTTATGGTATCTTATTTTGTTTATTTTGTATATTTTGCACTAATGACTCAAATATATTATTTTTCTAATTCATGGCATTTTTAAATTACTCAATTGCATATGTTACAATTTAATAACCATAACAAAAATAATAAAATAAAAAGAATAATATTAATAAAAATACTATTGACAATAATTTATTACTATTATTATTATTATTATTAGGCTGGGGCAGACACCCCTACTCCACCCCCCCACCCCCACACCATGGCGGAAATTTAGTTCTATACTAAGTTAGTTAAAATACAAAATATGACCATTAAGTCTTCATTGAAAGAGGGATTTAGTCCCACATTATCTATTTACGCATCATCCCCTCCCCCAGCTTCCCACCCCAACTGTTTTGGCTATCCTTCATCCAAGCTACTGTAGAGACAATGCCATTATTTTGACATTTCCAGCAACAACTCCTCCTTACACAGATGTGAATACTGGCTTTAGTCTCAGCCACTTCACACCCAGTCTTTCACTTTCTATAAGCATTTCCCTATTTGGACTCTCTGCAGACATTACCGTAATCTGCTGATGGCGTTTGGAACAACTCAATTGAAACGTTGAGAAATTCTCAACAAAACACAAAGAGTTCTCCTCAGAAATATTTACATGGTTGTTACTTATAAAGTACCACAGTCATGTCATCACAAGACCAGGTGGCGCCCTATAGGCTTTCTGAAGTACGCATTTTAAAACCTAATAATTTACCGTCAAAATGTACTAAAAACACAAAAAGCTTGCATTATATTAGTTATCGAACACACATTTACAGTAATCATCAATTAACATTTACAAAGAAAAATTAAGATACAACTTCTTAATAATTACATTAGAAATTGGGATCAATGGTTTGCCAGTGGAGAAAATGGCGTTGGTTGAACGCATTTTGTGCCACCGATAGCAACGGAGTAGTATCATGTGGTATCGTGACGTAACACTGTATTACTCTATAGTATAATACTCTTTTATAGTACCGAATACTAAAATGCCTCAAATCTGTGATTTGCCCAAAATGGGCATGATGATGATGTCATATCATTCGGCCTACTATACCATATATGGACATGGTGATGTCATCAAACTTATGGATAAATCACATGTATTTGTCACATAGAGCTTGGCAATGTGAACAGAGCTTAAGTTAAACTCTTTGAGATTTCTTTGTACAAAATACTATTTGTCAGATTATAATCACGGTATTAGGCAAGGTTTTTTTATACCTTGTTTAGCGAACCCACCGCCCGCCAATAATGATGACTTGAAATAAAAAGAAATTTTATTTTTGGCCAATCAGCACACCCATTAGCCAAAAACTGGGAAATACAAGTTAGTCTTCATTTTTATTACACTAGTCGCTACCTTGAAATCTCCAAAAATAAGATATGTATATTTCTTCCTAAAATTAAAAGCATTTAAACATCCCATTAAGTCTACACTGTTTATATTCACCAATAAAATTTTATTTTTATTTTCTTCTCTTTTTGGATGTTTTTAGCAAAACTCTTTGCTAAATAAGACAACAAAGTTTTATTTTTCCCCCCCCTCCCCTCCTCTGACGATCTTTATAAAAATATCATTTTTACAAACGTACAAATCATACTCCTTTCTGTAACCAACTCGAAAGATGATTTCTGTCATTTTGCGATCATTTATATTTTTAATAGAAGAGTACAAATGCCTACATTGTCAACCCCTCTCCCAATAAAGCATGTTTTGTAATCTTACAAAAATGATGAAAATTATGTACGGTCCCTAATATATATGTTGGAAATCAAGAATAATTTTGGTAACAATATCAAGTGCAGTTATTTGCTACATATTTTACAGTAATTCTTTCAGTCTGATCCCTAGTGTCTTCTAACTAAAATAGTTACACTTGAGATCAGATGTTGGAAGTCGTACCATAAATTCTGACATATAAAGCGATTGCCAAAAATGCAAATTGTGACCCAAAAATAGGGGATCGTCTGAAATGCCGGATATAATACTAATATGAAACTGTCAAACATGCCAAAAAACTACATCATGATATAAGGTCAGTGAATTTTTTGAAAATAAAATACAAAGGATTATTTTGATGGACAAAAATGGACTTCAAAGGTCGACACATCTTAGTCGGAACATTCTCCCTACACTGTTTCATGGGCTTCCCTAGCAGTCTACAACTTTCTTGTGAGAGGGTAGCTAACAATATATAAGTCCATGGAGTTGAATGGCATCATTTATTAGTCTCTTCCTACTGGACAATTTCCTATTATTTTCCTCGGTCCTACTTCAATAATTCCAGTGATCTATTTTTGGAATTAATATTATGATCCCATGACAACTACCACTAGGGCGAAAAAATATAAAAGAATGTGTGCCTTTGTTAAACCTTTGTGATTCACTTCCTCTGTAAGCCATTGACATAGAATTTTCTTTCTTTAATTTTCAATGGTATAAGAGGGTTCAGCTTGTTCTTTCGTGGAATTCAAAATCTACAAAAAAAATCCTAAAACTAAGACAAATGCTACGAAGAGTGCATCCCCTCCTATGGGTCAACGTATTCAATTGCATTCTAGGTAATACTTCTCTACTAGACAATGGACAATATACACTTAACTCAGATTGCAGCCAATCTTTATTAAGAGGACAAATACGATACCTTTATAAATATATAGTATTAATAGTAAAAAGGCTTTAATTGGGTCATAATCTAATTTTTTTTTAGCTTTTTTGACATTCGTCAACACATTCCCTAATTATTTATTTTTAAATAAATATTTACCTGCATATTATTCAGATTGTATAGTTTTAATCTAACATATTTTTCACTGATTTGTATAGTTTCGTAATATACAGTATTTATCATATGAGTTTGTTTCCGTATGTGTAGACAATGCAATATAAAATACTAAATTAATTATTTTGATTAGGACCTACTTCCCGTGATGGTTACATACACTTGCAGTATTACACACAACTATACATTCACACTAAAGGCAAACGCCTCCACTTCACAGGATATTGGTATGGCCTATAGATAAGCCTATAAATGTACATACTGTAGCTCCGGAAGCCATTAGTATATAAGAGATTTGTATACAACAATAACAGCCCTTAATTTCCACACGCAGATACACATCATGAAAAGGGTTCTGTAAAGGGACTTTCCCTTTTGTGTTATATTGATCATTACTTCCAGGAACAGTTCAGGTGTGTAAAGCCACCTATTGATTCAGCATTGTGAAAACAGACCTGGATGTTTTATGGTTATAATATCTATTCATCAGTTTTAAGCAAAGGTTATAAAGCTTAAAGTACGTAAATAATACCATATCACAGAAATCAAGACATATATCTAGGACATTTTAATAACTATTCTGGCACTTGATCAAAATATAAAATGAGGCAGATCTGTGGCACTTTACAGGAAGTAATTAGATTACAAGTGTTTGACTGACAACAATATATAATATGCAGTATTATGGATTGTAACATGGACCTTATAATATTAGGTCTATAGTTGTAACATATAATAAGTATTATCTACTTCAACATATTGTTATAAAATATTTATAAATCAGTGGAAAACCAAAAATACCAAATTTAAGTGGTTTTACATCAATTATAAAGGTAAACATCAGTTTGACATCCAGTAATTCTATTAAGCATGAATAATTTTACTGCACAAAGGTACGCTGTTAATTAAAAGTGAAACAAAATTGTGGCATATTAATAATAAAAACAGGAAGTACCTGTAGTATGTGATATTAATATAGAATGCAGAATGTAAAATCAGAAGACAGTAAACTGAAGTGGATCTTACAACAGATTCCTTATTTATGACGAAAATTGAATTGTTAAAAAAATATTGTCGCCAGGAAAATTTGTAAAAACCCAAAAACACTTAACAAAAATAAAAGAAAAATAAAATTGAAAATTATGCACTGAAAACAGACAAAAAAAAATGAAAAATGCAAAAATCCTTTTATATGCTCATTAAAGAGAGTTTAACTTCCACAAACACTTCAGTTTTGATTATTTACTATGAAAATATTTAAATTGATTACTTGCCAAATTGGGGTTCTCAATTTCAAAACTTAATTGTTTATTTGCCTACATATGGCTTAAATGTCTTTTCTTTTTTCCTGTCCGAATTTTCAATAAAAAAAAAAACAAACTAATAGACTTAAATGATATTGTCTTGTAATCACTTGTCTTTAAGTTCTGAGTTATGGATGCACATTTGTTTTACAAAATGTGCTACTTTGCGAAAGTACAGTACAGTATACGACCCAAACACAAATTAAGCAATTCAAATACTAAACTTTATCTTTAAAGACTTAGATGAAAAAAAGTAAATAAAACATGAGTCATTCTGCCACCCTGATTGGTCAAAGAGATGGTAGACCAACAACAACTCCAAAAACCATATTTCCTCTACCCAAATGCTGAAAAAAAAAATTAAACATGTAAAAAAAAAAATTATACATGAGTCATTCTCCCACCCTGATTGGTCAAAGAGATGGTAGACCAGCAACAATGGCTGCTTGCAAAAAAAACACCCAAAGTACCTCCTTCCAAGTGCTAACAAAAACAACAATGCATCATGCTCATGTTGCTTCCACAAACCACAGACTCCATTTAAGTGTGCATAAACCAAGGACACTTACAGAAGTCCTTTCACAAGACCATTACTGTTCTTTCATCTACTATGCTATAAAATACTACAATACACAGACTATTCATTAATGTTTTATGCCTAAATACTATTTGTGGAATAAAAAAAAAATATTTAAATATAAAATTCAATAATTAAAGTGGTTAATTTGCATACTGTATGTATTTAGTGATGGGTTATCAGCTTTTAATTCAAAATTAGAACGAGAAAATATTTTTCATTTCATTTATTTATTCTGGAGAAATACAGAACTAATAGATAACATGAACAGAGAAAATGCCATATACTGTACTTGCCCGGAGGAATCCAAAAATGATAAACATCACAATCATAACGAACATGCATTAACAATAAAACACACAATTACGATTACATTTCAATAGAGAGACAGATACTAGTAAATAATGATTTTATATTCTTCACCTTAGCTGGTAATAAATTAAAAGAAAAAAAAATGTCCATTTCAATTCAATTATTTATTCATCATCAAATGTATGTCAATTTATAAATAAAACTTTAAACCTGTTAAAAATCGGATAAAAGATGAAAAGGACATTCATGAAACTTAAATGAGCTTGTAAAATGACAACCTGGATGTAGAGTAGTAAAATTGCTTAAGAATAAAAATTGTTTAACCATAAAAATAAAAACAAAAATGCTGTTCTAAATCAACAAAAACTGAAATTACTTCTCAATCTGTATCTCATTGAAAGCTGATAACATACTTGAGGTTTAAATTATGTAAATTAGCAAACAACACCTGGATTCTTTAGGGCTTTTTACAGTAGTAAAATTGTTTAAGAATAAAAATTGTTTAACCATAAAAATAAAAACAAAAATTATGTACTAAATCAATAAAAACTGAAATTACTTCTTTAATCTGTATCTCACTGAAAGCTGATAACATATTTGAGGTGTAAATTATGTAAATTAGCAAACAACATCTGGATTCTTTAGGGCTTTTTACAGTAGTAAAATTGTTTAACCATAAAAATAAAAACAAAAATTCTGTACTAAATCAACAAAAACTGAACTGCTTCTTCAATCTGTATCTCACTGAAAGCCGATAACATATTTGAGGTGTAAAATGTAAATTAGCAAACAACACCTGGATTCTTTAGGGGTTTTACCACAGGTGTAGTAGGCTTAATATATATTTAATTAAGCCTGTCTATTATTTATCTTAATGAAATGAAAACATTAAAAATGATTGTTTAGGATTATAACAACTTACTTCACTTTCAACTGAAAATACCTTTAGAAATCATGGTTTTATAGAAAAATAATGATGCTGTTTGTACAAGACCTTGCAATTTTAGTGGTGTGCTAATAATGATGTAAAATATTAACAACTATTGCAGGATATTTGGTCTAGTTAAGAACTAAACAATAATCTATTGTTTGTTTTTGAGGATATCAAAACAATGAATAATCATGATTATGTCTGGACTTGTCCTTAACTGTCGCCTACAACTACCTTGTTATGACGTTATTCTGCAAACTTCCTGAGGAATGAAATTGGTAGAGATTATAGTCATCAGATACCATGCAACTGAATTTCATTTTACTGTAATATTTCATTTTTACCGATGCAGGGGTCCCAACACTCCCCGAAGCCGCGGAAGTCTCCCAGAAATCAGGAAGGCCTCCCACACTCCTGGGGGCAAGCAAGAATCTCCCGGAAAGTAATCCATCTCTAGCAATTTCATGATATTTGCATGTTTTTACCAATTGTTAATATTTACAACAATTGTCTCCCGGAAGTCAGTGCCAATGGGTATCACCTGCTACTGTATCCACAGCTGAATATCATTTAGATGTATTAAGAAAGCTTATTTAAACAGATCTCCCGGATGTAGATTCTTCCAATCTGGGACCCTTGCCAAGGTCTTTTATAGGGTTTCCCTTCTATTTAGCTGTTTGCTCCGGTGGTGTTTGCTGCTGAAGGTTTGGTGTTTATTAATCTTTGTTTTCCTCACATTATGCTGAACCATGTTGTTGTGCAACCAGATGCCGATTGTGTGGGGAAGCGCTCAGGGAGATGACTTTGGGGGAAGCAACTGGGGACTGGCCTGTGGAGGACAGCAGAGGGAGACTATGAAAAGAGGGGGGCTATGGATGGAATAGATGTTGAAGGGGATGTGGGATATTTTTGGGTCAGAATAAGCCTATTTATTTTGCACTAACGTTTTGTTTTGAGGTTTTTGCCCTTACTGTAAATGATCATTTTACTTTCTAAAATTTTTACTTTCATAATTCAACTGAAAAAAACCCTAAAAAAAACAATTCTTTTTACAAATGGTGATTTTCTTCCATATTCAACTGTGTTTTAGCAACGTTCATTGTTTTTTAGGCTTTCAAATAATATTTATTTCACTTTTTTATACTACAGAATTGTATGTTACTTTTTACAGCAGAAGTTTATTATATGATTCAAAGAATCAATTACAGTATCAATTTTCTACAGATTAATTTTTTATTTAAATTATTTTTCTACCTTGCGTTTTAATTTCAGTTCTTTTTTTTTGTTAATTTATATTTTTAATGTTTTCCTTATATAATTTGGTTTTTTTTTTACACTTTCTGATTTTTTTCATTTTTCTGTTAAATTTTTATATTTATTTGTAATGCTGATCAGCTCTGGCTGGATGAACCACCCTCACAAAATATTGTTGAAATAAATAAATAAATGGTTTCCCATTCGCTCTAGTTTATTTTGGGTTTAACATTTCTATACTATCTAAATTTCCAAAACATTATTATGTTACTGATGATAGCCAAAAATAAAAATTCAACAATTAATTCAACATAAACCAAACAATAACATAATTGCAAGTCATTCATTTTTTTTTCTATCTGACAAAAAAATATTTCCCATGACTTTCAATGTCTGGAAAAGACTCAAATAAACTTTCGTTAATTTCTATCCCATACGAACACTGAATAACAATGTTTATCCGATACAATAGGATCATTCAAAATCAATAAACAAATTTTCAGTTATTTAATTGTTTTCCTTATAGTATATTACCACAATAATCATAATACAGTAGTGTTGAATCATCAAGTACCATGTGACTCACTTAAAAAAGTACAATATACATATTTTCAGTTATTTTTGGTTTCCCCTTACAGTACAGTATGTTACCAGCTTGTAATTGTATTGAATTTCGACTTATTTTACCATGTGACTTACCGTAAATATGTTAAAGTTACAGTTTGGAATTATTATGACAAACTTGTTTTTCTTGACTTTCATAATTTCCATAATTAGACAGGGTGGACTGATATGAATACTTAGTGCTAAGAAGAGTGATTCAATTAATAACATTAATAAGGGGTTTTTTTCCCAGAGGAAACAATATTTTTGATATGTTGTACAAATTAATATTAAAGAGTGTTTGAAGGCTAATAAGATACAGATTTTAAAATATTAAAATACTGGGGAAACCTGAATATTTCTTTGGGAAAAAAATAAAAAACAAATTTTCTTTATCTTCTGTCATTCCCCCATAGAGATATAATAAGAATACTAGAGCGCTAACAGCAATATATTCGATGTTCGAAATACGCAGAGCTGTGTGTGTGTACCATGCAAGATGGCCGCCATAGATTCGGCCAATCAAATTTCGCCTGAGCACTATCATTTTCAATGGTGCCCTCAATTTACACCGAAAGTTCAGTACAGCTATGTTTGAAACTCGAGCGTTGCGGTGTATGGGTGTAATGTACACGATTTAAATTTTTTTTAAATATTTGAATAAGATGCTCTACCTGGCCTCTTTTTGGCTACGACAGTTTAATAATTTGTCATTATCTATACTAATTATCATTAATGAAATAATATTCAGTCAGAGGGCTTATTTATGGTAATAATATGTATACTAAGCCTGAAGGCGGCACTTTCCTACAGCAGCCATCTTGGATGGTACACATACACAACTCTGCATTGCTCCGCCATCTTGTCAGCACTCTAGTTGTTTATTAAATAGCTCTATGCATTCCCCCTACTACTAACAGTGAACACTTTTAATTTTCTTTTTAATATAAACGAACACATAATCTGATTAAACAAGATTTAAAACCATTTAATATAGTAGGAATGATGTCCAACATTTTATATATTCATTGGCCGCCTAGGCTACGCCTACACCCGTCTGGCTTGGCCTATATTATAATTAATAATATTAATATAATAATTAATATAGGCCTAGCTCCGCATTTTTATACAATATTTCTCCCATTAGAAATTTAGCTTCACCAAGAAGGAAAACTTAAATTTAACTAGGCCTAGGCTAGGCACAATGTGATGAATAACAGCTTATAATACAATTAGGAATGGAGGAGCTTAGTTTTTAGCTAAAAAGCCTAGGGGCCTAGGCCCCTAGCTAGGCTAATAGCCTAGGCCTGGCTGGCTAGGAATCGCAGTAGTAGGCTAGTCAAGGATGACTGTCCTCTCGGGCTGTGTCGTAACAAAAAAAAACATCAACAGACGCAACCTACCCAGATTAAACAGTAAATTGAGAACAACAGAGGCAGCAGGAAGCTCATTAACTATACATTTGCGCACGAACTTGTCTTATTAGGCTGCCGTCATCAAAGAAATCGAGACAGGCCATCATGTGACGTGTTATTAACCCATTATTTCTTGGAATCAGGGTACTTGGAAAAGATCAAAATAGCCGCCATTGGTGAAGCAGAAAAGAAAACATTTAATGTACATCAATTGCGCATGCGTGTATAAACAATCTCTTAACCAAAAGAGGGCGTCTTGCATCGAACCTTTTGATTTTTTTAATAAGGTCGTCAGGCCTATGACTGGGGGACCTAGACAGGGGACCGCAAAAGTCCACGGACTGTATACATGGGCGTCGATCGGTGGGGGACATGGGACACGTCCCCACCCCCATCTTTCAAAGTAGAGGGACATCATATCGATTGTCTCTCCTCCACTTTTCAACCCCCCACTTTTCACCAATCTTCTATAATTAAAACCCCACATTTAAAAGCGAATGTAAAGAATAACAATTACGTATTACCGTCATGAATTTTGTCTGTTCACTTTCCAAGTGCGGTACGTATTTCCCGGACCAAAACCGAGTAAAAACGCAATTAAATTGTTTATACATATGATTTCGTAACCATCTCAGAAACCACTAGGTTGATTTTATGGGTCAGCGGTTATCAGAGGAGGCTACATTTATTGTGAAAACCATGTACTGAACTTTGTTAAAATTTAAAGTGTATACTGTATACTTATTAGGCCAATATTTTTACAAATTCAAAAGTGCACAATTTATACTATAAACAATTTATTCCTTTTGTATATTATTATGACCCGTCCGTATATACTAGTGAATATTATCTAAATACATAGGATTACTTTTTTTTTTCCTAATTAAAAAAAAAATTATAGTTAGTCAATTGAATTTTATCATAGCCATTATTAAACAATAATTATACATTATTTATTGATACCAAAAGTTTACAAGCTCCAGTGTTACGTTGACGCAATCTCGCAATGACGTCATAATAATCAGTGGCGGATTCAAGTGGGGCAGAGCCGACCTTAAATTTTTCAAAATTATTTTTTAAAATGGAATAAAAACAAAGGGAAATTATTAGGTCTGAGAGTGCCATTTCCGGCAATCTAGAGGTGTCATAATCATAACTTTTCTTTCCTCAGCCCCAACCATGGTGAGGCTGAGGTGATCTACTTTTCCAAATTGTGCAAGCCCCTACCTGTTTCCACCCCACCCCCTTTTTTTTTTCTGGAGCCGCCACTGGTAATGATAAATTAAGTAAATCACCGTTATGTTTGAGAAATCAAAATGCTAACCAATATTTTGCGTGCTCCCTATCTCCCTAGTATTGTTTGATTGTAAATTAACGGGTATTATTTCCACTCACAATAGTGTACTCGCAATATTACTTGCACAAAAGTGAAATTCAAAAAGAGGAGAAAAGTAAAAACCTCTTGATTGATTTTAAAACTACTGCTGTACTGTACATGCAAAAGACTAAATTAATAACTGTTTTAAGTTTATCTTATTTGTTTTTCATGGTTCGAATTTTGAATATGTCACAAGCTAATCAGTAAATAATAAATCATTATTTTTATGAATGTTAGTTTGCACGAAATATACAAGCAGGCAAAATTATGACTAAATAGTGAGTATTTCAGTGGCAGATTCAAGGGGCCCAGCCGACACACCATCCCTATATTTTTTTTTGTTTCGAAATTTGAAAGCGGAGAAAAATAAAAATTATATTCAAATTCAGTTTGAGAGTGCCATTTCCGACCAACTAGAGGTGCCATAATCATAAATTTTCTTACATCAGCCCCAACCACGGTGGGGCTGAGGTGGTCACACTCTCCATCTGTAAAAGTCCATCTCTGGGCACAGCTCTATTTAAAATTACTGGATCCGCCACTGGTTATTTTGAAAATTTCGTATGGAAATAAATGTTAATTGCATTGCTTGAAATCAATTAAAAGGATAAGCGCCAAAGCTTCCGGGGGTTCGCCACCTGGTCCCTGGTATTTTTCATTTTGCGGGTTATTTTTCATTTCGTCCCCCCCCCACTTTCCACCACCGATCGACGCCTTTGACTGTATATGAAAAATGTATTTTACTACTGTCTCTTATACACATCTAGATGTGTATAAGAGACAGAGTCTACACACTGTGAATTAACGATCTGATCAGCCAACTGGGTGGGTCTCTTTAGGGACGGACTGTTTGTGGAAACTACATATTTTTTAGTATATTACATTAAAATTACATATAACTATCAGAGATAAACCAAAACATATACAACTCGAAGAATATTTGTTAATATAGTGCATTTATTAATATTAAATACATATCAATGAGATATCTTTCTAAACACAATGTAATTGTCCTCTTAGGAAATTCATATTTTTAAGATTATACCATAAGATGATATTTAATAAATAACCTTAATCAAAACCAGGAGGTGGCAAAATTGGTGTTTTTGATTTGAAACCAGGAGGATGTGACACTGGACCCTCAAGAGAAGCCTTCTGGGTAATTGATTTCAGTTTGCTGTCATCAGTACAGACTGCTGCCTCTTTCGAAACATCACTTCTAGTACTCAATTTTGAACAGTCTTTTTGAAAATTGTCATTTGTGTTGTGTTGTTTTGTAACAGCAGACTGCTGTAAATGATCTTCAATATTAGTTTTTTTCCCTGCCTCAACAGAGAATTTTTTGGGGTTTCTCTGATATCTTTGATGCCTGTATCTTTGATGGCCAGTATTTGATTGTCCATCTTTTTTGATTGGTTTATTTTCCCTGAGATATCTATTATCATCATCTTTTCTTGATGATGGATTCCTAGCTGAATGTGTTGTTTTGTGTCTAATGCCTTTTTCATTATTATCATTACTACCATGCAATATTTCCTTTAATAGCCCATCACTCACATCTTGTTTTTTCTCCGAACCCTTAATCTCACTACTTTCTGAAATATTTCTTCTTGCTGTGCCACCACCTGACCTATATTGCTGTTGACTCCCTGCCGTGGAACCACCACTACTTCTTCTTTGATATTGACTGCCACTACCTGATCTTCTTTGATACTGGCTTCCTGCTGTGAAATCACCATTTCTTCTTTGATGTTGATTTCCTCCCGTGGCATCATCTGATCTTCTTTGATGGTGACTGGCACCACCTGATCTTCTCTGATTTTGACTTCCTGCCGTGGTACCACTTGATCTATGATAATGCTGACTTTTTGCCATGGATTCCTCTGATCTATGACTTTCATCTTTAGTACAATTATTTACATCTCTTTTCCTCCAATTACCAAATTTTCTTTCTCCTGTTCTAAAATAATGGTTATTTCTTCCTCTATTTTGTCCATGATTATATCCACTTTTTGATCTCCTATTATCCTGTACATTCCTTTTTTCATTCTGTGTTCTATCTGTTTGTATCATTTCCTTTTCGTCTATTTGACCAGACTTAATTCCATCAAGTTCTGCACCCTTATCCTGCTCTGTATCAATCAACTTTTTTTGTTTTGTACTGTCAGTGTCAGAGACATGTTCAGAGCTTTCTGATTTTTCTGACACACTACAATTCAATTGATAATCTGTCCCCTCTTTAAGCTCTTCTTCACATTCCTTTAGATCTGGTGTCTCCTCAGGTGCCTGGTTCCTACTTATCCCATCCTGCGATACATCCTGAATGTTATTAGGTTCAGTAGAGTCTTCTGCCACAGATTTTGTAGCAAATGATGAAACTTCTTCACATGACTTATCCATACTAGCATTATCATTCCCGCCATTTCCATTGCATCCAAGTTCCTTGCCTGGCTGCTGTCTCTGCCGTTCTGCATCTCTATATGACCGGTTACCATATTTGTGGTAGTTTTCTCTTCTTGATCTTGAATGGACTGTGTTTCGCTTGTCACAATATTCACTTTTTGGTGCTGAACAGTTTATATTATCACCAGGAGGAATAGTTGATAAGGAAGGAGTTGACACAGTCTAAAAAAACAAAAAATAAAAACAATATAAAAAAAATGATATAATACCTGATTGATGATGAATCAACAAGATGGCTGTCATAGGAAGAGCATTACCTTTGCCATAGTACACAGATTGCAAATGAATGTAACAGTAATAAATAATTATTAATACTTAATAATTATTAACAATAATAATTAATTACTAACTTAGCCTAGCAAGGATCTAAGTAAAGCAACTGATTTAAATAAAGACAGTACAGTGTAATATATAGTACACAATCAAATTTATGTTCATCTTCACATTGATGCTTAATTGCAACATAAAGGTAATACATCTGTATGCAAAACTGTATATTAAATTGAACGGTGCAATTAAAAATGATGGCTAGGTGTACATTGGTTAGCTAAACTACAGCGGCCATTTTGTTGTGTACCAATACACTGTTCTTTAGAACATCAATTGCAATGGAGTTAGTAATCTAGTGATTTTATAACAAAATTATGATGAAAACTGCATTATTTTAAGTTTTTTCTACTTACAGTTGAGATATCAAGAAGGAATCTATTACTCTCTGCTTCAAGATCTATGATGCCACCTTTCTCTTTCTGTTTGTTAAACAACTTCTTCATCTCTTCTTGCCATCTTCTCATGGATTCATCTGGCTCAAAGGAATCATCTTCAACTGATTTCACAACTTCTAAGCCTTTGGTCTCTAGGTCACTCACATAGGAGATAGGTTCTCTACATACCGGACATACAATCTGTGAAGAGGTACACATAAATGAAGAACGTCGACTAAGTGATACAAGTTACTAATTTCTTTTCATACAGCTGAGTGTAAACTAGTAAAGCTACTTCAATTCAATAATCCATTATACAGTCTGTGTTGAGATAATAAACATAAAAAACATAATTCAATATTTTTAGCTTTCAATTAATTATTTGAACAATAAAGAATACAGTATCAATAGGTTGTAGGTTTGAGCATGAATATAAATTGGAATGAAACTAGTCTGATGCTCAGCCAGTTCCATAATACTCCCCAGTGGTATGTGGAGGAGGTAATAACAGGTACAGATTAGAGGGGGCTAAACTCTGGAAATGTTATTTCATCAACCACACATGCATCATGTGGGGACCATACTCCCAAGGTGGGGCTAAGTTAGGTGTTGATTTAAACCATCTGAAATATTTGGTAGCCTCTTCACACCCACCCCCTCCCCCTCCAGCTAAAAATCCTGGATCCACCACTGAATAATGCACCATGAGTCAGCTTACATTGAACAATACAGTCATTATACAAATCTCCACCATTATTATTTTTATTAAGTTATTCAAGTGACCTTGAGTTCCTTCTTCTCTTGTGGTATTCTATTCTCCTCAATCTCAGCAGCTTCCTTTTCATGGTCTTTTGTGCAAACATCAATATACCTCTCCAGGCAACTTATATGGAAATAATGATAACATTCTGTTTTGGTAAAGGCATCATCATCCTATTTAAACAGATAATAAATATATACAAAATTATTACAGTTCTGTACAATTGATGGTGTGCTTTCTGTATTATCAAAATTATTATTTACACTATTACTAATTATTAACAACAATTATAACTATTAATACGGATATTATAAACATTATTTATTATTATAAAAATTAAAGTTTTATTAACAATTCGTCTTCTTCCTTATTTTTAGCACAGAGACAATATACTGTAGTATGTGCTAAGTGTATTAGTATTACCTTTATTATTACTGTCATTATTATCATCATCATTATAATCATTATTAAGTTTACCTGGAACCCAGTGAGGCACACCGCACAATTACAGCTGGGAGTGTTGTTGTGTGTCAAGCTATCCTTTGCATGCTTTGAAAAAACAAACAATACCTTCAAATGATTTTTTATATTCTACGTACATTAAATTGTCTTGAATGATATAAGATATGATTACCATTCTCAGCACAGCCTGTCAAAGGTTAACAGGAAAAATTTTTAACAGTCCTTTGGCCAAGTTGATGCAGTATACTCCCTTGGAATATTATATGCAAATCTTGACAGGTTATTCTTTAGAACAAGAACTATTACTCATTTCTCATACTATCATTATTCAAGTTTAATTTTCATCCATTTGTTTTCTTTTTACCTGAATAAGCATAAACAGAACTTGATTGCCAAGGTTCTCAGTAGCATGTTCCTCCAGTGTTTTCTTCAAACTAATGATTAAAAAAAACATAATGTCAATGAATATAAAGTGATAAGAATGACAATAATAGGCTAATAATTATTTAATATAATAATATAATAATAATAATAATAATAATAATAATAATAATAATAATAATAATAATAATAATAATAATAATAATAATAATAATAATCAATCAATCAACTTTATTTGGGAAACAAGTTCAGATTAAAAAACTACACTGCAGTGGCGAAAAAATAGTTGTTGAGGGGGAAAAATGATGATTTTACTAAAACCTACCTTAAGGGGAACTTAATGGAGAAATTAGAGTACGATGTTAAGGGGAAAATAACATGACATTAAGGGGAAAATAACACAAAAGATATTCCCCTTAAGTCCGAGTTAGCACTAGTTATTATTATTATTATTATTATTATTATTATTATTATTATTATTATTATTATTATTATTATCATGCTTTACCTGTCAACAAACTCATCAGATATTCCTCTTGGGTTCTTTATGCTGATTATTGGCTCTGCATGTGGATACTTTAAAAACAAAAGAAGAAAACAATACAGTAATACACTAATTATAATAATAACAAATAACAGTAATAATAACAATAATAAAAGTGCTATATTTTAAAAATGAACAGCAACATCAATAATAACAATAAGAGAAACAGCTCTTTAAGCTGATATGCCCTTTAATATCATGGCCCATGAGCACATTGAAGAAAGCAATACATTCTTGTAAAGACTAGGTAATTCACCTAGTCATATTCCTGCCTCCAACACCTCTTGTTCCATCTTGTTTTTATCTCTTGACCACCCAAACTCATTGTCAAAACCCAGCTCAAGATATCACAATGCACTTCTCTTCTCCACATTAAGATGCTTTGCAATTTTTTACCCACATAAGTAATTTAACAATTCTTTTTAATCAAACAGCCAATCACATTTATTTAATCCATGTAAATGGTAAAAAAAAATTTTTTTTTAGTCATCTGACACATGCAGGATATTGACCCAGACCTGAAACTGCTAGATTGATTTCTAATCTGCAAATCATGCATTCAAAGTTGAGTCAACTTACTGCCTGTGGTATATGTAGAATGAGTGTTAAGCACACATACTGTTCATGTGCTTGGCCTGCTGTTGCTGGATGCAGTACAATCTCAATACACTCAGCAATTCCACTGTCAAAAAAAAAAAAAGAATTTAGAAGAAAATTGAAGAAAAGATATACTGCATGTATCAAAAAAATTAAATTAACATTTCCAATACCTCAAATGAAAAAATCAAATAATGCTAATTTTAAAGACATTTTACTGCACTACTAAACTACTTAAATTTGATTACCAACCAATTTAAGGGTCTACATTGGAACACAGGAATGTTTTTGTTAAAATTTCTGTTAATTGACAGGGAAAATATATTCTTGTTGAGATCTTTAATTGTAAGTTATTAACAAACTTAACTATAGTGACCTTTAATTTTTAGTCTGAATTGATTTTGATTTTACTTCTTCTTTTGTCATATCATATTTTGGAAACACAACTTCCTGATATTTTTCCCCAAACAATAGATGGTCTTAGAAAAATAACATTCAACCAAAGTGGTCTTCAACAATAATGTAATTTGCATAATAGTAGGCCTTGGGCCTCCTAGCTTTAGTCAGGTGTGATGTGAGTGAGTATTGTTTCATATCATATTTACCATTGCTCTGTAATTAAAAGTTCATCGATGTAAATAGAATTCAAAATTTCAATTTCCTCTTGTCTCAATTGAAGATTCTCACTGTAAAATTATGAAAAAACTTGGAAAGTAAGCTTGAGTGCCAATTTATTAAAGATTTGTGCAAAGTTGCATATAATAATATATATTATGTATAAGACAAATGTCCTGCAAAATCCTCATTTATTATTCTTCCAACAAGTTTTTGTAATTAAGTACAGTAACATGAAAAATATTATATAAAATGCCTGTCTTAGATCTATATTCTTCTCTGGCCCTGTGAGGTGTAAAAAATACCCTCACTATCAATATCTTGAAACATCAAATGAAAACATCATTGCTTTTAGTTAAGGTTAACAAAATTGTAGGTAAACTCTTTTTTTCTTGCTTAATAATGGGTCTAATTTGTATAATTAATCTTTGCTTTTTCAGTACTCGTCACTCGTATTATGTATTGTATTTCATGGAATGAATTGAGTGGAATAAATTGAATTGGTATTAATTACATATGGTAGAAAGAAGGTATAGGGCCGGCCCTAGGGTAGGCCACAACAATATT